ACATTTGGACCGAAGTACCTACCGCAAAACAAGATGGGATGCCAAAAACTGCACCCTTTGGACCACGCCTGGCGGAACGGGCCCCCGCGGACCAAAATCCACAACATCGGAACCGACAGGTTAGTGAGCCTAACTTTAACCCCTTGAAAAAACAGCGCCTTCACTTGGGGTTTGGACCACCCAATTCAGGGCCCTCTGTGGGTCCACTCGTTTGTACGTCTTAGTCCTAAGTACCTGTCCCAAGGGCATCTGTCCCCATTGGAACTCAGACCCAGCGGGGAGACCTGGCCCTGTGTCCAGCAGCATGAAGGAGTTCCGCCCACGCCCTGTCGCTCCACTCGTTGTATGTCTGGTTTATCAGCTGCACAGCTCTACGAACATCTCCCTGGAGGGTGAACTTGGACTTTCGCCCTCCTAGAGGACCAGGAAGTCATCAACCTGCTGGAGAATGTTTTTTTGTAGCAGGGCGCGGGCAACAATGGCCCCAGTACTCACTGAGGCAGTACATCTTTGTAATTTCGGGCGGCTGAGATGCGCTCTTGTCCTACACCAGGGAGCTCGAGACACACTGGGTGGTGTGGCGAAACAAGCACACCTCAAGAACACTGACATCAACCAGTTGGTCCAGCAATCGGTCCACAAGAAAGAAATCAACCGTTGAAATCTGTACATAAAATTCATAACGAATACATTCGCCCACACGGGCAACACCCCTCAGCTTAGTTAGTGGGATCGCCGCAGTAACCTTCTCTGGGGAATTGTTGGAATCTCCATCGAACGCATATGGAAATGGCACCTGCAATATATCATTACCCGCTCTGTCCATGATTTTGACATCCCTTGGTGCGAAGCCTTCGCCATCATACAGGTAACATGTCACGGGCATTCGTTGTCCAACATCCCTGAGTCGCACAAAGCATCTAGCAAGACGCCCTCTGACAATATCACCATTGTCTGGGCCCCACGAACAATGGTAATGTTTGACCAGGGTCAAGACTCCAGCCGATGTCCTACCTCTGTCCGTGATGAGGCAAAGACCACCACAGTAACGCCATCCAACTTCACGTAGAGAATACATGACATTCGAATACCGTGGTGCCTTCAGCCGATGATCTTGCACCATTATAAGGTTTGCATGGCTGAGGGGATCCAGAGTGGTATGCATCGTGGTCCAACTCGAGCCATTGATCGTGCTGATGTTGAGCCCCTCTCTGCGAGAACTCACAACCTTATTCCTTGACGCATTCTTTGTGGGCGCCATTTCTTCACAATAAATGGGGCCACTCGTCCACTGTACCTGGTAGTCGAAGTCACCGTAGTTGGTGGCCCCATCCCTGGGCAATCCCAGGCCAGATGGGGAAATAGGGAATCACCCCTCCCTCCAGCGATTCGGCGTGGCAGGTTCCCTTGCCGTTGGTCCTCGCATGCTCAGGGGAAGGTCGAAAGTCAACGCTAGGTTTCGTCTGCCACACCGTCACCGTCTGAGCTCTCTCCGGGTCAGGGTAGAATGGCAGCGTTCTGGAGGTAATCGATGAGTCGTGCTACCCATGCTTGATGCCAGGGCCTTTTCGCAAAGGGCGACGTGGCCTGCTTTGTACTTGTTGCTTCAGCAGCTTTGCTTGCAGTATCCTCAGATTTGGATCCGAGAATGTCTTTTTGCTCATCTTTTTGGAGCGGAAGATCTGTTAGCCGTCGACGGGATTGGTTGTGACTCTTCCACAGCATGACCATCCTCCCCACGACGCTTCTCTGATAATAACCAGTGTTTCTGAGCATTGTGTTCTTTACGAACGGTTCCTCCTCCTCCTTCTCCTCCTCCTCCTCCTCCTCCTCCCCCTCCCCCTCCCCCTCCTCCTCCTCCTCCTCCTCCTCCTTCCTCTCCTCCTCCTCCTCCTCCTCCTCCATTCCTTCTCCTTATAGATAGCTTCTCCCTGTCGCACCCCGAGGCCAGTTTCTAGGGCGGGCTGGACGATTCGCCTCAGACTTCCATACCATGTCTGGCTCTGAAGCTTAATAAATCACAGCGGTTTCACACATGGAGGGCGGGTTGCTTTCAAAATGTGGCTCTCGCCTTCGTGCCGCGCAATTTTGTTTTAAACAGTTGCAGGGGATTTCACGGATTGAGCGAGGGTCGCTTGCAAAATGTGGTTTTCGCCTCAGCGCCGCGCAATTTGTTGGTGAAGACATGCAAGAGCTCCACAGATGGAGCGCGGGTCCTTTACAAAATGTGGCTCTCGCATTAGCGCCGCACTCCTTCGTTTTAAAAATTGCAAGAGCTTCACGGATTGAGGGCGGGCCGTTTTCAAAATGTGCCTCTCGCCGGAGCGCCACGCACATTCTTGTTAAACATGTGCAAGGAGCTTCACGGATTGAGGGCGGGCCGTGTGCAAAACATGGCTCTCGCCTTAGCCTTAGCGCCGCGCACAATCGCTTCAAAACAACTGCAAGGAGTTTCACGGATTGAGGGCGGTTTCTTTTCAAAATGAAGCTCTCGCCTTGGCGCCGCGCACATTCGTGTTAGGAAATATTCAGGATTATGCGGGCGCAACAGACATGTTGATTCGCCGCGTTGAAGTCCCAGCAATGGCGTTCTGGCACGATTCTCGATCGTCAAGACGCAGCACTTAGGTTGATACGCAGAGTTGAAATCCCGAGAACCATGTTTTGGTACGCTTCAGGATCTTCAAACTGTTGTCTTCCAACGAGGCAGTTCCCTCAATTGAAGTAAACTGTTGTAGGGGCCTATTAAGAGGAAGCTTGGAGAAGGATCAATTCCAACATCGTTGATGACTCTTGAGTTTCCACTGGTCCTCCTCCTCCTTCACCTCACCTCCTCCTCCTCCTCCTCCTCCTCCTCCTCCTCCTCCTCCTCCTCCCCCTCCTCCTCTTTGACCCCCCCTCCCGCTCCTCCGCCCCTTCCCCTCCCACTCCGCGTCTTCCCTTTGCGGCTGCCCCTCCCCTGTCCTCTCGAACGTGCTCCCCATGGCCATGCTGGAGCACAGCGTCTAGCCGACGAGGCTAGCCAGGAAGCAGACTCCACAGCGGGTCCGACAGAAATGAAGTTTGCCAAGCCCCCCTGGATTCTTTCGGCAGGCTCACTGGCAAACGCGTAATTCGCGCTGGCGAGGCCGCAGAACGCTGGGGGCGGAGAAGAAGAGGGGGACACCCGCCAATCCGAAGTGTGAATTTCTGAGAGCGTGGGTTCGAACTTCAAAAAGGTTCCCGTGCTTTGCTTTCCCGGGCTCGGGGTCCGGCCCCGGTCCTGGCCCCAGGGCCAGGACCGGGGCGATCGGGGCCCTGGCTCGCGGGGCCGGGGCGGCCGCCCCGGGAACAACGTCGGGAACGCCCCGGATCGGCGGCACTGTCAGGAGGCCACTACAATACAAAACGAGAACAACGAGCATACGCGCGGTTGTTATCTGAACATGCTTGTGGCTATTACATGTAATACCTGGCATGCACGCCCGAAAGATCGTGCGTGACACCGACCCACTAAGAGATGATTCATCAAGTATCGACTCTCTTCCTGCAGACTCACCTGGCATCACTAATTCACACCTTCAGCAAATGACCGATCGCGAACCCAACCAGGGGTCAATGTATATAGAAAACGGACTACGGACAGTCAACAAAACATATCCTGCGCCGTAGGTATGGGAAACGTGACACGCACTACTTGATCTAGCCTCTCGCAACGCTGCATCATGCATGCATGTCGGCGGTCAGCTGAGCAGAGGTTCTCCCGAACTGAGGGTCATGTTCGTTTCTGGGACGGCCCGCAGGGTGCAAGATGTCAATAGCAAACGCAAGCTGAAGGCAGGGAACAAGTTGCCATGGTTGTAAGCCGCTGGCTGGGTGGGATGGCCATTACTCGTATGTGTCGAGATCCGATGTGCAAGGCATCTGGTCGGTGTTTTTTGTTGTCAATTCTGGGCTTCGCCACTTGGCCGAAGGGTGGGGCGGGGTGGGGGGTCCTGGTCTGGGCCAGTGCTAAAATCTGCTTTCGCCAGTCGCGCAAGCAGGCTGGGGGCGGAGGGGTCCAGGCCGGAGTCGCCAACACAACAGCCGCGAAAAGCAGTCAGCATCTCTGGTCTACGGGGAGGGGTCTGGGGGACGCAACGCATGAAGAGATGGCTACTTGGTTTTGCACGTCATCGCACTGCATTGCCTTGATGTGATACAGCTGGCTCGAGTGGATGCCTTCGCGATGAGCTGCTGCGGCTGGAGCAGCACTGCACTGCCGTGCGCTGTCTTGCGATGGATTGCATTGCCCTGCTGCTTTTTGGCTTGCAATGCGTTGCGCGTTGCGTCGCTCTGCACTGCACTGCAGTGCCTTGCATTGTGCTGTCTTTCACTGTACTGAACTCTTTGCATTACCTTGCATCTTACCTGTTCGCACTTCATGTTTGTTTCGTTGCACTGCGCTGCTTCTCAGGAGGGGGAAGCCTCGAGGAATGCCAGGGGCATCGCCGCAGAACCGAAGGTGCGTCTCCACGGAGCTGGGCTCGATGGCACCAGTGCCACCAACCCTCCTGCGCATAAGAGATCAGGGCACCTTTTATTGAGCTGGGACGGACCGTCCTGGCATTCTTATAGTCCTACCACGACATGTTCTGAGAACCCCAAAGTGCTCTAAGAACAAACACCATGTTCTTAGAAAAGACGCCCGATGCGTTAAAACAAAGCAGTCTCAGCCCGATATGTTATGATAACCTTTCGTGCAGACCACACACTGTGTCTTTGAACAGTCTTAGGTGGGCCTATAGGCCAGCAAGGACGCTTCGCCACTGCTTGATTTCAGGCAAACCCACCCTCGCTGCCGAAAGACCGTGGCAGAACAACATGCGGCAAGCAGGGTGTTTCGTGGCGTGGGTCTCCCCCCTCCAGTAGCGCCTGCAACGCCACGTGCCACACTGCCTCACACTACTCGTTCCCTCGAACTGCACAGTACAAGATGAGAGCCACATACAAAATCGAGTATGCCAACCTTCGGCAAGCTCTCAGCGATGACGCCAGTCTCGTCGTCCCATCGGGCACCGTCCATGAAGAGCCCTGCCCCCCTGTCACGATACTCGAGTTGCCATGGAGGGTGGGGCATACAGAGTAGCCCCACGCTGGCCACTCTTATATCGTCGCTCTATTGCCAATTCCCTCCTTTCTATTTCAGTGCTCCTCTTGACCGGAGGTTCCTACTCCTTCTCCTTCGCATGACCTTCCTCCTTGTTCTCCCACCCTCTTCCTACGCCACTTCCTTTCTCAGACAACCACAGAACCAGCCGCCCACGACCCGAAGCCCCGATGCCGCCCCCCCAGGGGTGCGTAACAAGCGTGCCCTCATGCGCCTCCGATCGCCCGCAGACGCGCATGACTAGTCACCGCTGGCATCAAACGAGGGAGTTCGCCGAGAACCTGGGCAGACCTCTGGGAAGTCGTCATGAAGTGAATGCGACGAACCTGCCTCTGGCAAGTGTAAAGATCGAGCGTACTCGGTTCTGAGACGTACGTGCGTACCACATGCCACCACCCAACAGACTGACAGAGTACCAGATCGCCGGGAAGACGCAGGAGGAAGACGATGAAGAGTACCCATAGCGAGTTACATCCCAGCGCCACAGAAGATCACGGAGGGTGTGTGTGTTCGTTGTGTTCGGCCTCCAGGGGCCCGTTTCGGGCCATCAGAGAACGACTCGCTGCAAAAAAAAACGGTCCTGAGTAGGGATGGGGTCGAGAGACCTGGGGGGCCCCACGTTGTGACTCGGTATTAGAGGTCTGGGGAGAAGGGAGTAATCCAGTCAACCCGTATCCTAACGATGCGCGGTGAGGATGCAGGGGCCTTGGAAGCCACTTTCGAAACTTCTCGAGCGGGGCGCGGCCAACGAAAGTGGCCAAGGAGGGGCCGAGGAGACAAGGATGCAGGGGTACCCTTGGGAAGGCTGCCCATCCTTGCTATGTGGGTTGACTGTAGGACGGGTGGTGGTCTGCCTCCTCCTCCTCCTCCTCTTCCTCCTCGCTTCTTTCTTTCTCCTCCTCCTCCTCCTCCTTCTCCTCCTCCTCCCCCTCCTCCCCCTCCTCCTCCCCCTCCTCCTCCCCCCCCTCCTCCTCCTCCTCCCCCTCCTCCTCCTCCTCCTCCTCCTCCTCCCCCTCCTCCTCCCCCCCCGCCTCCTCCTCCCCCTTTTCCTCCTCCTCCTCCTCCTCCTCCTCCTCCTCCTCTGGTTTGGGACTCCGCTTAAGACAGCGCACGCCCCTGCTCCAGTAGGCGGGCTGACCCACGGCAGACTGGTCCGAGGGCAGACGCCGGCGCGGGGCGTCGGCGCTGCGATGCGTGAAGCGCGGTGCGGATATGGGCCATGAAAGGAAGGTAGGGTTTTAAGTCGGGCCGGTCCCCCTACAGGGGGATTTTGGGCGAAAACTTCAAAATACCCCAAACATATCCCTCCTGTAGAGGGACAAGCCCGACTGAAAGGTAGGGGATCGAAGAATGACATAAACACAAAAGCTCGGAGGTCCGCACGGGTTTCTCGGATCGGCGCTGGACCCCCCTCCCTGGCGCGCGGAGCGCGCCAGGGGCGGCGCCGGAGGCGCCACCAGGGGGGTCCACCCCTCCTCCCCTCCCCCCCTTCCCCCCGTCTCCCAGTTCCCCTCGCTCGTCTCCTCTTCTCCACGCTTCCCCCCCGCCCATATTGTGCTCCTCTATCACGCTCTTCCTTCTCAACCTTTTCTTCATATTGCTGGTCCTCCTCCTCATCCTCATTCCCATCCCCCGCCTGAGGGGATTGTGCCGAACGATACCCCACTCTCAACCCAGACCGAACACCTCCTCATCCTCATGTTTACCCACCTCTCTAAAATTCTTTTGCTGCCCCCCGCCCTTCCGTAGACGAAGCACCCATACTCTGGCTTTTCGAACTCGGTCTTGGACTTCTTGAGAACCTCGCGTGGCTGGGACACAGCACGGGCTGTCCAGGAGAGAGGAGGGAGGAGGGGGAGCTGGAAGGAGATGAGGCGGGGGAAGAGAGGAGGAGGAGGAGGAGGAGCAGGAGGAGGAGGAGGAGGAGGAGGAAGAGGAGGAGGGGGAGGAGGAGCAGGAGGAGGAGGAGATGGGAGGGGTGGAGGACGAGGACGAGGAAGGGGTGTAAAGGGGGCGGCGAGGGAGGCTGCGAAGGGAGGGGGGCGAGCCGGAGGGGGGGGGGAAAAGCCGAGGAGGACCAGGAGCAGGAGGACACGGGGCGGCGGCACGAGGAGGGGGCAGCGCGGGGAGGAGAGCGAGGCGAGGTGGAGGGCGGGGGCGGGGGCATCGGAGGAGGAAGTGGCACCCATACCTCTACCTCACCGCCCGCCCTCTCCTTGAGCCTCCTTGAAGGCCCTCGTCGCCACCGCTGCATTCGCCTGGAACTCCTGACCAGAACGGACCCCGGGAGCGGTCCGGGGGGCAGCGCGGTGTCGGCACCTGTTGGTTTCCCCCGGGCAGGAGCCGAGCGGAGGAGGGAGGAGGGAGGAGGGAGGAGGGAGGGAGGGAGGGAGGAGGGAGGAGGGAGGAGGGAGGAGGGAGGCGAGGAGGCATCGGGCCGCTCCGCCCCCGGAGGCCATGGCGCCCCACCTCGAGCCGCCAGCAGCGCCGGGCGCCCCCTCGGCGCGGATGGCCCGCAGGCCCGTTCCAGGAGGAGCGCCCTCGCCGGGTCCGCAAACCGTGCCTTCCGCACCGAGCGGAGCGCGGACCGGATGCCCAGGCATGCCCACGGCCACTTCTGGCCAGAGGCCCCCCTCGACCCCCAGGGGGCCACTGGCGAGAGCGCGGCGTTCTGTACCAAGGGTGCGGGTCCATCGGCCGCCCTGCGGCGTCGTGGGGCCGGAGCGCTCGCGCGTCAGATTGCCTCGGGTCCCGTTCAGGCGGCCGTGAGCGCCAACTGGCTTGGATTTTGCGAGCCAAGCACCCTTCCCGCAAGAGGTCAGCCTGTGCATGCTGACAATGAGCCAAGCACCCTTCCCGCAAGAGGTCAGCCTGTGCATGCTGACAATGAGCCAAGCACCCTTCCCGCAAGAGGTCAGCCTGTGCATGCTGACAATCCTCTGAGCCTGGGGGCGACGAAAAGGAAGCGGGCCTTACGCAAGATGGCGCAGCGACCTCACGCGGTGCCTCACGCGGGCCGCCAGCGTGGCACGCTGCATCGGCAACGAGGGCGCTCACGGGCGACCTTACGCGGGCAGCTGACGTACGAATGTCCGCGCAGACGGCCCCCTTCTGCTTGCGTCGCTCATATGTGTGCCCGCTCCGACGACGTGTTTGCCAGGGCAGGTCGCCCGCGCAGTGTTCAGCGGTCACAGTCTGCCTTCAATGGCCACCGAACGTCCTCCCCCACCTTCTGTGCCCGTCTCCTCCTGCTCGACCTCCTGGTCCTCTCTCTTCTACTCCTCCTCCGCCTCCTCCTCCTCCTCCTGCTCCTCCTCCTCCTCCTTCTCAGGTCCTTCCTCCCCTTTCCTTCCCCTCCCTCATCGGGGTGGGGGGAACGAGGAAGAGCAAGATAGGAGGAGAGGGAGCAGCAACATGCTAGGAGGAACGCAGCGGCAGCCCGGCGGCTTCCCGAAGCAGGGGATGGCAGGGAGGAAAGGAGGCGGAGGACGTGCATGATGTGGAGGTCCAGGGGAAGAGCTACTCTCTCGTCTCTGGATTGACCCGTACATCTTTACACATCGGTCACTCTCTCCCTCCCTCCCTTCCTCCTTCCTTCTCCTCCCTCTACTTGCGCTGCCTTTCTGCTCATCCCTGCTCCCCCTCCGTCCCCCTCCGTCTATCTTCGTCCCCCTCCTCCTCCTCCTCCTCCTCCTCCTCCTCCTCCTCTTCCTCCTCCTCCTCCTCCTCCTCTTCCTCCTCCTCCCCCTCCTCCCCCTTCCAAAAGGAGACGCCCCGTGTCCTGGAAGGTCCACACGAGCGTGTCGATGGGCAGCTTCTGGCTCCGTGCGAAGTTCTGCAGCTGCCCGGTGAGGAAGGACTGGGTGAAGTAGAAGCCCGACAGCCAGAACGTGACCTGCGGGAGGTGCGGGAGCGGAGACCAAGGCTGGACCTAAACGCCGTGTTGCTGGACTTCAGCCGCGTTGTGTGTTTCGTTTTGGCAGGGGGTACAGAAAAAACAGTTAGACCAACACGAGAAACAATTACCCTGGCGACGTACCCAACCCCTGCGCAACACGGGGCATGAGTAGCTTGGGAGACGTTATACGGATGTGATGACGTGACATGGGCGCATATACTTCTGCAAGCGGCATTCGTTAGGCTCGCAGCCCCCCAGGGATTGCGATGTCCCGCTCAGATCTGCCTGGTGCCTCGCTCCGCTGGACCCACCAGCAGCCCTCGAAAATGGCGACAATTTCGCAGATCGCAACCCCCCAAGGACGGCGAGGTCCCGCTCAGATCCGCGCGGTGCCTCATTCCGCAGGACCCACCAGCAGCCTTCGAAAATGGCGACATGTTCGCAGATCGCAGCCCCCCAGGGACGGCGAGGTCCCGCTCAGGCCCGCGCGGTGCCTCATTCCGCAGGAACCAATGGCGACATGTCGCGTATCGCAGCCCCCCCCAAGGACGGCGAGGTCCCGCTCAGATCCGCGCGGTGCCTCACTCCGCAGGACCCACCAGCAGCCTTCGAAAACGGCGACGGTTTCGCAGACCGCAGCCCCCCAAGGACGGCGAGGTCCCGCTCAGGTCCGCGCGGTGCCTCACTCCGCAGGACCCACCAGCAGCCCTCGAAAATGGCGACGGTTTCGCAGATCGCAGCCCCCCAAGGACGGCGAAGTCCCGCTCAGGCCCGCGCGGTGCCTCACTCAGCAGGACCCACCAACAGCCCTCGAAAATGGCGACATGTTCGCAGACCGCAGCCCCCCAAGGACGGCGAGGTCCCGCTCAGGTCCGCGCGGTGCCTCATTCCGCAGGAACCACCAGCAGCCCTCGGAAGTGGCGGCAATGTCGCAGATCGCAGCCCCCCAGGGACGGCGAGTCCCGCTCAAGTCCGCGCGGTGCCTCACTCCGCAGGACCCACCAGCAGCCTTCGAAAACGGCGACGGTTTCGCAGACCGCAACCCCCCAAGGACGGCGAGGTCCCGCTCAGGTCCGCGCGGTGCCTCACTCCGCAGGACCCACCAGCAGCTCTCGAAAATGGCGACGGTTTCGCAGATCGCAGCCCCCCAGGGACGGCGAGGTCCCGCTCAGGCCCGCGCGGTGCCTCACTCAACTGGACCCACCAGCAGCCCTCGAAGGTGGCGACAGTTTCGCAGATCGCAGCCCCTCAGGGACGGCGAGGTCCCGATCAGGTCGGCGCGGTGCCTCACTCCGCAGGAACCACCATCAGCCCTCGAAAGTGGCGACATCTCGCAGATCGCGGACCCCCAGGGACGGCGAGGTCTAATTTGGGTCAGCGCGTGGCGTCACTGTGCTGGGCCCCCCAGCAGGCCTCGAAAGTGGTGACAGTTTCGCAGATCGCAGACCCCCAGGGATGGCGAGGTCTAATTTGAACCTGCGGTGAGTACCCACTGTGCTGGGCCCCCCAGCAGGCCTCGAAAGTGGCGACAGTTTCGCAGATCGCAGCCCCCCAGGGATGGCGAGGTCTAATTTGAATCTGCGGTGAGTACCCATTGTGCTGGGCCCCCCAGCAAGCCTCGAAAGTGGCGACAGTTTCGCAGCTCGCAGCCCCCCAGGGATGGCGAGGTCTAATTTGGGTCAGCGCGTGGCGTCACTGTGCTGGGCCCCCCAGCAGGCCTCGAAAGTGGTGACAGTTTCGCAGATCGCAGACCCCCAGGGATGGCGAGGTCTAATTTGAATCTGCGGTGAGTACCCACTGTGCTGGGCCCCCCAGCAGGCCTCGAAAGTGGCGACAGTTTCGCAGATCGCAGCCCCCCAGGGATGGCGAGGTCTAATCTGAGTCCCCGTAGGGCGTCACTCCGCTGGGCACCCCAGCAGCCCCCGAAAGTGGCGACAGTTCCACAGATCGCAGCCCCCCAGAGATGGCGAGGTCTAATCTGAGTCCCCGTAGGGCGTCACTCCGCTGGGCCCCCCAGCAGCCCTCGAAAGTGGCGACAGTTTCACAGATCGCAGCCCCACCAGGGATGGCGAGGTCTAATCTGAGTCCCCGTAGGGCGTCACTCCGCTCGGCACCCCAGCAACCCCCGAAAGTGGCGACAGTTTCACAGATCGCAGCCCCACAAAGAGATGACGTAAAAGGCAAGAGAGAAGAAGAGGAGCGAAGAGAGGAGAGAAGGGAAACAAGAGAGGAGACGAGGAGAGATGAGAGGAGAAGGGTAGCACAGAGATGAGAGGAGAAGGGGAAGCAAGAGAGGAGAGAGAGGAGGATCGAAGAGAGGAGGCGGGAGGCGGGAGGAAGGGAGGAGAAGAGGAGGGGTAAGAGCAAGAGAAGAGAGGAGGAGGCGGGAGGAGGCGGGAGGAGGAGGAGGAAGGTGGAGACCACAGTGCTCTATTCAAAACGACTACCCAACGCAGGAGGGTTGGGAACAAAAACAACACGAACAGCAACGTTGAGGTCCAGCCTTGGCGAAGACAGAGCGCGTAGAAGCCAGTAGAAGCAGCAAGCACCACATTCAGGTCGGGTGTATCCTCCTGCAGGCGGAGATGGTGGAAGAGAAGTGAGACATAGTCACAAACGTACTCAAAAATTGCTGAATAATAGCCATCTATCTCTGAATACAATATCTGAATCGGCCCCGTACTATTTTTCTACTATCTTTGCATACTCCGCCTGCAGATCGGGGGCGGCCAAGAGGGGGGCGTCCAAGAGGTGGGGGCGCAAATCATGCCCAGCGGCATGTGCGCGGCCCAAGAGGGTGCAAGGGACCTAATTCGGGGATGGACAGACCTCCCTTTAGTAAAACGTGGTTTAGTGAAATCGACCTGAGGCCCAAACCTGGCGGGCGCAAGCCTGGAAAATAACGGCCGCGGCGCCCTCTCGAGAACCGAAAACGGACAATTCACTAATCGACGTGTCACTGTTGGGGGTTCTGTCCGCCCCCGACTAATGAAAGAAGAAGAGGCACCATGAAATCTGATCCACCCATCCCTAGTCATCACCCCCTCTTTGCCGCCCCCGAGTAGGGGGACAGGCCCGACTCAACACCACACAAGCCGAGACGTTCGGAGGTCCGAGCGGATCTGCCGCCGGGTCGACGCTGGATCACTGGAGGCGCATCCCCGAGGGGATGGGGCGGCGCCGAGCAGGACCAGTGGAAGGGAGACGAGGGTGAGGGGAGACTGCGCGGCAACAACATTGTCTGTCCGTGGCAGTTCTGCAAGCCTGCACGCATCGCTCCTCTCCACTCCCCCCTCTCCCCTTCTCCTCCCCGATGCCTCTCGTGACCCCGCACTGGAGGAAACGCTGGGGCGCTGAGAAAAAAGCTGGGGACCGGTACGCCGCTCTCGATCCAGTTAGTGAAGAAGTTCAGCCGCGCGCAGAAGTCGGCGACATACGAGGACATCGGCTTCAGCGATGGGTAGGACACCTCAGGCACAGAGCCAGTCTCAAGGGTGCAAGTCGAACACAGTGTGACAAGCACTCGCCAGCGACGTCCTGACCACCGATACTTCCTCGATTGCCTCGTGCTTCATCTCTTCATGTTTCCCGTCTTCAATTGCCTAATCTGATCCTCCTCGTCCTCCTCGGAACCTCCTCCTCCCCTGCTCCTCCTACACCTCCCTCACCTGCCTCCCCCCCGCGCCTCCCTTTGGCAGCCGCACTCCCACCGCTTCCATGGGCTTTTGAGCAAGACTTGATGAGCAAATAGATATGGCAGTGCTTGATGAGCAAGACTTGATGAGCAAATGCACTGAAACGAACCTGATGACACCAGACAGCAAGTGGAAAGTGGCACTCTGGCCAACACCGACAACGCGTTTGGCAATCATCGCAATTGAAAAAAACATGGCTACTTACACGACCCGGCCGACATACCTGAACTACATGCTTCGCACAAGACCAGCTTCAAACGCTCTCCGCAAACAGGTTCATTCCTCCTCCTCCTCCTCCATCACCTTCGCCTCCTCTCCAAGTTTATCTTCCATCCTCCTCCTCCTCGTCCTGCTCCTCCCCCTCTTCGTCCCTCTTCCTCATCGATCTCCACAACGTACACACGTTCCCATGCTCTTCTGGCCCTTCAATCAGAATCACCGCCATCATCGTCATCATCAACATCGCCCTCATCCTCATCCTCCTTACCATCACCTATGACCTTCACCACAAACACCACCATCACCATCCCCAACAGTCACCGCCATCATCACCACCATCATCCTCAGCATCCCTGCTCCTGACCCTCCTGATTCCGAGCTTCTACGGCGGGTGGCAAGTACAAACTTTTGAACTTACACCTTTTCAGTGACCCCATCGGTTGGCCCCGTCCCCAGATTGCTTGATCCGACGCCTCGCCCGCCGCCTCCAGGGGGTGCATCGTCTATGCGTTCGCTCGGATGGGGGTCGGGGCCGGGCACACAATGCTCCAAGTTCTGGGCCCTGTGCGCTGCCCTGGGCGACGGCCACGCAAACTCTCGCGGCCGCCCCATTGTGCAGGCCCTGTGCACCTTCTTGGGGCTCATGCACTGTGCGTTCTGGCCATGCAAGCGTAGTCGACGGGGATATTTGCATAAGCCCCATCTCTTCTGCTGTGCGTTCCGTCGCCTCTGGGCTCAAGCCCGCGGGTCAAAGAGACTGCAAAGCAAACTGCAAAGCCTTCTGCGCAAAGACATCTCACACCCTCATCCTTTGTCAATTTGCTCTACAGCTTGACTATCATGCTCATTCTTGTTCTTCTCCAGAGCGCCCGCCGGCGCTCGCTTCGGGCCCCTGCCCCCCTCAGGGCCCCAGGGCGATCCCTGGCCGAGCCTGGGCTGGGCGACGCCCTGGGAAGCGGAGCGGGGGGGGGGGCCCTGCGATCGCCGGCCGCGGGGCCTTTTTCTGGCCACGCTCCGCCCGATTTGGCGCGTGGCCGAAGGCCGTTCTGCACGGGCGGATGAAAGAGGGCCGCGCCGAGAGCAGGAGCTGGTGTTGACACCCTTTTGCGATCAGCAGTAAGGGTAAGGGGAACCTGATGGTGATTTCGAGGATGGGAAGACGGGGGAGGAAGAGGAGGGAGGAGGAGGAGGAGGAGGAGGAGGAGGAGGGAGGAGGAGTAGGAGGGGAGGACTGGGAGGAGGAGGAGGAGAAGGAGGAGGAGGAGGAGGAGGAGGAGGAGGAGGAGGAGAGAGGCAGGCCGAAGGCTTCTTCCTGATGCCAGAAATTTACCTTGGTGCGTTTGTGTTTCCGGCCCTGCTCGCGGCTTCCCGACAGCGCAGCGCGCACATCGCTCGACCTTGGCCTCTTCCGAGCCACCGGCATCTGGTCGGGCGTGTCCCCCTACAGGCGGATTTTGGCAGCGTTCAACCTGGAACGCCCGCACGGGGGTCACCGCCGCGTCGGCGCGGAGCGAGCCTGCAATGCCGCAGAGGCCCGACCACGAGAAGCCTTCCACAAGGGACCCAACCCTGAGACCCCAGGACGTCCAGTGATTTTCGGTGGGAGCGTCACGCTTTCCAGAGCTAAGCCATCGAAGCCCAGGAAACCCAGGGCATCCTGCAGGCAAGCAGGGTGTTGTTTTGGCACGGGCCTGCACTGTGCTTGGTGTGGCCGTGAGGCCCGCGCGGGCGGCGGCGACACAAGCCGCGCGAGGGGCGCCTTCTTCCAGTAGTCCGGCTGCTTGTTCAGGAGGATGCCCGTGGCGACCTCCCCAGGAGTTGAGGCTGCAGGAGATGAAAGGAAAGGCGGGGCATGCGCCCTGAGGCGCGTGGGCGCGACTCGGGCCAGCACGAAAGACTTCGCGATCTCGAACAGCGTGTGGATGCAGTTGTCTTGCCCATGCTAACCAAGGTGCCCAACATTTGCGAACGTTCATGCTGTTCACTGGCGTCAGGGTCGTGGGGGTAAAAACAAAATTACGCGAGAACAAGACTGGGTGCGAGGACCCAGGCTCAGGCACAAAGAGGCAGCGCCGAGAGGAGCACGAGCGAGAGAGGGGCCGAGGAGCCGCCGAGGGAACGACGACCGCGACGACAAACACGAGGGGACGATGAGTGCCCACGAGGACGCCGAAAGAGTGCGCCAGACGAGGTGGGGGAGGATGGGAGGACGAGGAGGAGGGGGAGGAGGGAGATGGGGAAGGAGGAGGAGGAGGAAGAGGAGAAGGAGAGGAGGGGAGGGAGGAGGAGGAGGAGGAGGAGGAGGAGGAGGAGGAGAGGAGGAAGGAGAAGGACGGAGAAAGGAGTGTTGCTGATGCTCGAAATCCTCGGGCCTGCGTGGGCCTGCGCGGGGGGCGAACCCTCGGGCGCCGCTGCAGGACACACGCCGCTCGGCATGCTGGTCCGAGCATGCGCCCCCTGGGGCAGCTCTCCGAGGGGGAGAGGACGAAGAGGGGGGATGAGGATCATGGGGGAACGAAGGATGACATAAACATAACAACTCGGAGGTCCGTGCGGGTTTCTCGGATCCACGCTGGACCCCCGTGTCGGCGCCTCCAGCGCCAGCGCCGCCCCTGGCGCGCTCCGCGCGCTGGGAGGGGGGTCCAGCGTGGATCCGAGAAATCCGCGCGGACCTCCGAGTTTTCATGTTTATGTCAGTCTTCGCTCCCCTAGATTACTAAGGAGCCCAGAAAGGACGCACGCGCCCAACAATGTACCTGAACACGGCCCTTCGATCCGCTAGACCGTCCGCGTGATACGAACATTCGCGCAATGCGCACTCCCGAAACCAACGTGGATTCATGTACATGTACGTCCTTCTTTCGCTCCTGCACTAAGACGAAGATGATGATGCCCCGTCTTCTGAGACCTGCGGCTTCCAAGATGCCCCCTGAGTGGCAGGAGGACTCCTGGGAAGGCACCCATCCTTCTCAAAAAGACCGCCCCCCTCTCGATACCCCATTCTTCGCTTTTCCAAATTCGGACCTCAGGACCTGTGCGCGGCGCGCAGCGCCTGCAACTTCACGCTGGCAGGAAACGCTAGACTTTATGCGAGCCCTTGCCAAACATCCAACGTCGGGTCGTTTTCGCAACGTGGTTCCAGAAGGAAAGTCTGGACCTCTTCCTGGGGACCGGCTCCTCATGCCAGGTCCTGGGGCTCGGTGGGGCCCCCAGGAGGCCGAGAATTGCTAACAATGCAATTCCTTCTGAAGTCATTGCCGCAGCTTCTCGGACGGAGGGCGAGTCGTTTCGAAACGGGGCTCTCGCACTCTCCCCGCGCACGTCCGCAGGACGAAGTTGCAGAGATACTCCAGGACGGAGGGCGGGCTCTCTTCAACTGGGGCCAGCGCCTCAGCGGTGCGCGCATTCGTCTGAAAAGCTCCCAACGTGCCCAGTAATGGTATATCACCTGTTCAGAAAAAGGAAACTCTCGCCTCATCGCCGCGCACATTCGTATCAGAAGTTCGCAATAGCTTCAATGATGTAGGATAACTCTTTTTCAACATGGGTCTTTTCACCTTGGTGCCGCGCAAACCCGCAGAAAAGGTTGCAGGAACCACGCGAGAGGAGGACGGCTCCTGTTCAATCTCGGGCTTCCGCTCGAGAATGATTGCTGCAAACAGCACTTGAACATGTTAAGTACCAACGGCACGGCTGGAGGTCAACTCTTTTCAGAATGAAGCCCTGGGCCGGCATGCAATCGAAACCCATGACCAGAAAGTTAATGTGTGCAACAATTGAACTGATGGGGGGCTGTTTCAAAAACGGGCTTCTGCTGGACATTTCGTGAAACTGAGTGGTCATACAACGTGATATCTTTTAGTTCGGCCTTTCCGGCCCTTGCTGTTGGCAGTTCGATGTCGCTTATGCCGTCGTTGCCTGTCGGCTCCGGCAGCGCAGTGCAGAGAAAGTCGCAACTGTCGATTTTGAGCGCCCAATTTGCTCCTCTCATTCCTGTTTCTCGTATTGATTTCTCTCAGAGATTGATTTCGAGCTACTTCCCTCGTGTCACCGAGCCTTTACCTGTGGTTTCAGTGCCTCAAGGCGGATGCCTGCGAGAATCCAGGCCTTTACCGCCTTTTGTTTCACATCATCTTACCATTCTTCACGTGAATCTCGACGGTTTCTTTTCTCACAGCGCTGAGCTCGAGTGTCGTTTGCTGCTTCCTCTTCTATTCGCTAGACGGATGCAAAGCAACTCCCTGCAAAACGCCTCGCGTGAATGGCAAGACAATGTGGTGCCGATGTTTCAAAGCGAGGTGTCTTGTGGTGAAAAAAAAAGATGCAGCGACATATGAGGAGGGAGCTTGGGACGGCGGGTGGATTGCATCATCGATGGCGGATCTCGTGCTTCCTCTGGTCCTCCTCATCCGCGTCCTCGTTCTCCTCCTGCTGCCCCTCGGGGCCCTCGGAGTGCCGACCGAAAGCCAAGCGACCAAAAGGCTCCCTCGAACTCGGGGCCCATTACCTCGTCGACCTGCACCTCCTCATCCCCTGTCCTCCTCCTCATCCTCCTCCTCCGCCTCCTGCTCCTGCTCCTCCTCCTCCTCCTCCTCCTCCTCGTTTCTCGTCCTCGTCTCTCGGCCTCGTCTCTGCTCCTCCTCCTCCTCCTCCTCCTCCTGCTCCTCCTCCTCCTCCTCCTCATTTTCTTCCTCCTCCTCCTCCTCCTTATCATCCCATCCTCATCCTCCTCCTCCTCCGCCTCCTCCTCCCCCTCCTCCTCCTCCTCCTTCTCCTCCTCCGCCCTCCTCCTGCTCCTCCTGCACCTCCTCCCCCTCCTCCTCCTCCTCCTCCACCTCCTCCTCCTCCTCCTCCTCCTCCTCCTCGTTTTTCTCGTCCTCGTCTCGGCTCGTCTCTGCTCCTCCCTCCTCCTCCTCCTCCTCCTCCTCCTCCTCGTCCTCCTCTTTTTCTCTCCTCCTCCTCCTCCTCATCATCCTCATCCTCCTCCTCCTCCTCCCGCCTCCTCCTCCCCCTCCTCCTCCTTCTCCTCCTCCGCCCTCCTCCTGCTCCTCCTCCTCCTCCTCCTCCTCCTCCTCCTCCTCCTCCGCTCTCGCCCTCGGGCGGCCCCAGGTGCGCAGCCCTGCCCTGGGGGCCTCCTCGAGCTCGGGGCCCATCACCACGAGCCCCTGCACCGCCTGCAGGGAGGAGGGAGGTTTTCTTCGGCGCCGCCATCCATCCTCCTCCCTCCGCACGCCTTCATCCTCCGCCCTCCACCCTCGTCCTCCTCCTCTTCCTCCAACACCGCGCTCCTCCCTGCTCCCTCCCCCCTCCGCCCTCCACCTCCTCCACCTCCTCCCCCGCATCTCCCCCCGCTTCCTCCCTTCTCACTCTTCCCTCCTCCCTCATTCCTTCTCCCGCATCCCTCCTCCTCCTCCTCCTCATCCTCCTCCTCCTACTCCTCCTCCTCCCTCCTCCTCATCCTTCTTGTCCTCCTCCCTCCTCCTCCTCCCTCCGCCTCCTCCCCGATTCCGTCTCCTCCCCCTGCCCCCTCCTGCTCCTCCTCCTGCTGCTGTTCCTCTCCTCCTCCTGCTCCTCCTCCACCTCTTCCCCCCTCCTCCTCCTACTCCTCCTCCTGCCTCCTCATCCTCCTCTTCCTTCTCCTCCTTCTCCTCCTCCTCCCTCCTCCTCCTCCTCCTCCTCCTCCTCCTCCGCCTCCTCCGCTTATTATTATTATTATTATTATTACTATTACTATTATTATTACTATTATTATTGTTATTGTTGTTATTATTATTATTAATCTGAGTATTATTCTTATGAGTATGACTATTCTTATTATTATGACTATTCGTCGTATTATTATTGACCTGCGTCTTCTTCTTCTTCGTATTATTATGAGTATTATTACTATTAATAGTATTCGTATTCTGCTTCTTCGTCTACGTATTATTCTTCTTCGTCGTCATCGTCGATTTCTTAGTATTCTTCTTCTTCTTAGTATTACTAGTCTGACTCTTATGATTAAGAGTCTTATTATTAGTATTAGCAGTATTATTAGTTTTTCTAGTATTATTAGTATTATTATTACTATTATTCGTATTATTATTATTAGTATTATTCTGCTGCTGCTGCTGCTGCTGCTTCCTCCTCCTCCTCCTCCCTCCGCCCTTCTCCTCCTCCTCCTCCTGCCTCCTCCTCCTCCTCCACCTCCTCCTCCTCCTCCCTCCGCCCTTTTCCTCCTCCTCCTCCTCCTCCACCTCCTTCTCCTCCTCCTCCGTCTCCCCCTCCCCCTCCTCCTCCTCCTCCTCCTGCTCTTCCTCCTCCTCCTCCTCCCATCCTCCATTCCTTGTCCTTATAGATAACTCCTCCCTGTCGCACCCCGAGGCAAGTTTTTAGGGCGGGCCGGGCGGGCCGCCTGGGACTTCCTCACCCTTTGTGACCCTGAAGCTTGAAAAGTGGCAGCAGTTTCACAGATGGAGGGCTGGTGGTTTTCAAACTGTGGTCCTCGCCTTAGCGCCGCGTGCAATCCCTTTTCAACATTTGCAAGGTTTTTGCGGATTGAGGGCGTGCTGTTTTCAAAATGTGGCTCTCGCCTTAGCGCCGCGCCCGCTCGTTTTAAAACATTGCAGGAGCTTCACGGATTGAGGGCGGGTCGTTTTCAAAATGTGGCTCTCGCCTCCGAGCCGCGCACACTCGTCTTCAAAATGCAAGAGTTTCTCGGATTGAGGGCGGGTCGTTTTCAAAGTGTAGCTCTCGCCTTAGCGCCGCGCACATTCGTTTTCAACATTTGCAAGAGTTTCACGGGTTTCCATGATCAACGTACCAGACATGGTGTTTTGGAGAGATTCAGGATTGTGCGGGTGCAGCGGTTATGTAGATTCGCGGTGTTGAAGTCCCCAAGAATGGCGCTCTGGCACGATTCCGGATGGTCAAGCCGCAGCAGTCAGGGTGATACGTGGCGTTGAAATCCCGAGAACATTTTGGCATGCTTCAGTATCTTCAAACGGTTGTCTTCCAACGAGGCAGTTCCCTCAATGGCAATGAACAATTGAGGGGGCCTATGAAGAGGGAGCTTGAAGGGAGGGTTAACTCCAACATCGTTGATGACTCTTGGTTTTACACTGGTCCTCCTCCTCCTCTTCCTCCTCCTCCTCCTCATCCTCCTCCTCCTCCTCCTCCCCCTCATCTCCCCCCGCCTCCTCCCTTCTCACTCCTCCCTCCGCCCTCCTCCACCTCCTCCTCCTCCTCCTCCTCCTCCTCCTCCCTCCGCCCTTCTCCTACTCCTCCTCCTCCTCATCACCTCTCCTCCTCCTCCTCCTCCTCCTCCTCCTCCTCCTCCTCCTCCTCCTCCTCCTCCTCCTCCTCCTCCTCCTCTCTCCTCCTCCTCCTCTGCCTCCCTGCCTGCCTGCCTCCCTCCCTCGCTCCTGCCTCCCTCCAGCCCCCTGCCTCCCCTAAGAGAACCCACAAAGAACGAGCGCGCCAAACCACGTATACGAAAACGGCCACCCGATCAGCGAGACCAGCCGCAAGACAAGAACGTTCGGAAACGTGCGCTTTCGAAACCAACGTAGATTCATGCTCGCGTACGTCCTTCTTTCGCTCCTGATCCCTCGTCTCCTCCCTCGTCTCCTGCCTCCTCTCCTCCCTTCTCCTCCTCCCTCCTCCCTCCTCCCTCCTCCCCCTCCCTCCTCCCTCCTCCTCCCTCCTCCTCCTCCTCCTCCTCCTCCTCCTCCTCCTCCGCTCCTCCTCCTCCTCCTCCTCCTCCTCCTCATGCTCCACTCAAACCATTTGGGCTCCAACCATCCGATAGGCCCGATTCCGGTGCCTGCACGCACGCGGCGCTCGAGACATATCGTACACCCCTTCGCCCCCAAAGGTTGTACGACAACCAACGACAGCTTAGATCCACTATGGATTTTCTTCGCGTCTGTGGAGCAGTTGCGGCTCGTGCCGCCGATGCGAGTGGAATGACGCTCTCGGCCGTCAGCAGACGATGTGTCGCTGCGGGAAGAAGGCGGAGGTCTTCTCCTGGCCCAAGTCCAGGAGGCTCCCGATCGGCGGCGGCGAGGAGTTCAGGAAGAGGAGGAGGAGGAGGAGGAGGAGGAGGAGGAGGAGGAGGAGGAGGAGGAGGGAGAGTGGAGGAGGAGGAGGAGAGGAAGGAGGAGGAGAGGAGGAGGAGAGGAGGAGGAGGAGGGAGGAGGAGGAGGAGAGGAGGAGGAGGAGGGGAGAGCAGAGGAGGAGGAGGAGGATGAGGAGGAGGAGGAGGAGGAGAGAGGGGGCGGAGGAGGAGGAGGCGGAGGAGGGGAGGAGGAGGAGGAGGGAGGATGGGAGGAGGAGGATAGGGAGGAGGACATAAGGGGGGGGGGAAGGCAAGAGGAGGCGGATGGAAGGAGGAGGAGGAGGAGCAGGAGGAGGGCCAGGCTGATGGGCAAGGCTCCCCGCCGTGGAGAGCGCTCCCTCTCCGTCGGCCACGGGCAACCCGCTCGCGGCCACATCGCCGCGCCAATGCGACCCCGAGCCGACGAGGGCGCTCACAGCCCGGGTCGACTCCCCGACGGCGCCGCCCGCCAGCAGGCCCTTCCCCGCGCCGCCCGAGGCGGCCGTGGCCTCCAGGGCCGAGGGCGCGCGTAGGGACTGCAACCACGGGCTCGACCGGGCGGCGGCCGACACGCGGCGCCCGAAGGCGGCGCTGGACGCCGCGGGGGAGAGGAGCGTTGCCCGTGCCCTTTCCCGCGCCGCCCGAGGCGACCATGGCCTCCAAGGCCGAGGGCGCGTGGAGGGACTGCAATGAGGTCGGGCAGAATCTCAAAAATAGTCAAACAGATAGCCAAAACTTGTCGAACAAAATACTCAAACAGTAGTCCCCAGACTATTTTCTGGATTATTTTTGGGTATTCCCCCTGTAGAGGGACACGCCCGACTCAAGACTGCAACCGCAAGCTCGACCAGGCGGTGGCCAGCACGCGGCGCCTGAAGGCGGCGCTGGACCCTGCTTGCAGTGGGGGGGGAAAGGGTCGACGATGGCCTCGCTTCAAGGGGAACGCAGACACACCTGGCACTGCCAAAAACGTTGGGACCCAGACGGAGGCCCACAACTACTGATGGGGCGGGGGGACCTCTCGAGTAACCTTGACATAATCAGAGCGCCGCTCCACCCTCGACACGTCGGCGCGGGGCCCGAGGGGCAAGACAGAGGCAGCAAGGCGCACCGCGCACGGAGCGCACTGGGCAGTTCGGCCGACGGAGGCGATCCTCTCCTCCGCGGGCTGAGGGTAGATGTTTCAGTAGCCAGGCGAAAGCTGGCAAACCCGTGGCTGCTAAAACGGAGCTCCGAAAAATTGTTTTTTCCTTCTGGGAAGCAGCCCATGTACTATTCAGCGCGCTGAGCTTTATTCTGGGAATGTGTTCTTTTCTCTTCAGGGAAACCGTTTTAGCAGCCACGCATTTGCCAGCCCTCGCCCAGCTTCTGAATGTTGGCACCCATAGCTTCGCAGCGCAGACAGCCGCGTCGTTCCCGACGCGCCTGCAGCGCTCGGCCACGTCGGCGTCTGGATCGTCGAGGGCCTGCTGCGCGCGGATCTTCGCGCGCCCGGGGCAGAAAGCCTGCCGCCTCGAAAAGTGCCCCGCAAAGCCAACGCCGCATGAAGGGCGCTTGGGCGAGAGCCGCAAGCTGGAGGGCAGGAGAGTGCAGACGCACGGCGTTGGCACCATCAGAATGCCAACGCCACGGCGCCTGCCCTCGCACACGCCGCGAACTCACAGGCCCGGGTGGCCCGCGGGCAGCTGTCCCAGACTTGGCCCTGGGCCATCGGCAGCAACTGGCCAGACGTAGGGGAACAAAAAGCGACATAAACATAAAAACTCGGAGGTCCGCGCGGATTTCTCGGATCGGCACTGGGGCCCCTCGGCGGCGCCTCCGGCGCCGCCCCTGGCGCGCTCCGCGCGCCAGGGAGGGGGGCCCAGCGCCGATCCGAGAAATCCGCGCGGACCTCCGAGTTTTTCTGTTTATGCCGCTTTTTGTGCCCCTAAGACGGCCCCAGCATGGCAGATCCCCAGCCCGCCCGGTTGGACGCGCACGCGCGCGCCGCGCTCCGCGAGCGCGGCCCGCCCAAGACGCTGCGACCCCCGCGCGCCGCGCAGGCCACGGGGGGGGGGGGCGCCGAGCCTTCGGCCTCGGACCCGCCGGGAAAGAGCCCGAGCGCCCCGCCCCGCGGGCCCTGAAGCGGGGCCAGCAGCCTCGGCGGGCATGACAATGCACGGACCATCTCTTGGGCCGAGCGGCCGCCGCATCGACGTCAAGACAAGGCCGTTCCGGACCCTCGCCACCGTGCTTCCTGGCGGCCTCCCGCTCAAGACCCCTCCAGACACCCTCCCGAAGATCTGAGTCTTGAGGAGGGGAAGTGGGGTTGGAGCGGCGGGCGTTGAGGTCACTAATGAGGGGGATGGGGGGCGGCATCTTCCACGCATTGCGACCCAAGGAAAGTTTCAAAGTAACGAAAAATCGGTGACCTTGGTGCGCCCAGCCCAAACGTCTCTAGACCAACGAAAAATAAGGGGCGCGCACGGAACCACACCAGGCGGGAACCCCTTCGATCCGCGAACTGCGGCCGCCAACGGCAGGCTGCATCGTAGCAGCGCACAACCTCCGAATCTTTGCAAGGTCTCCGTCAGCGCCTCGCTGCCATGCGTGGTGCCTGACAAGGGAAAGGCCCGCGCAGAGCTTGACAGCCCTGCGTCCTGGAACGGCATGCTGGCGGACAATTCTTCCAAAACGACTGCTCGCCTTGACCACTATGGCCTTGGCGCGGGCATTGCGGCCTCGAGCTCTTTGGGCACGTCCCGGTGTGTGGTCAATCCTCAAATCGACCACCGACTCAGATTGCACTCTCCCAAGCTCCCCAAAACGTTCCTGCATGTGCCTGGGAATCTCCTTGAAAGACGAGATGAGCCCTACTTCACCAAAGAAATATCCGCACTAAGCAGCTGGGGCACAACCCCTTTCAACTGAAAGGCGGTGGCGGAATGGTCTCGGCACATACTCTTGATGGACCAATTGGCGTTCAAACCCATATCGTCGTTTTACGCGTCGGAAGAGAGCCCCTTCGGAACCTCAACCCCACCGAGTGCTCTAATGAACGTCGCGGCGAAGCTGCACCCCGCGACGATATCGACACGAGCATGCGTGGGCCTCGACACAACACCCCCCCAAAACAGTCAAACGAGCGGCACGATAGCCCGCCAAACAAACCGAAGCAATGTGGGTAGGTGCCGGTGTTAGGCACAACGCAACGCAATGGTATCCAGCGGAATACGCTCGTAATACGGGATAAAATCACACAATACGGTGCAAGCATGCTGCGACTGGCTGCGAGACCTCTCCGACCTGGTCGTCCGTCTCCACACGTCGCTGGCCGACTTGCGCTGGCCAGCCGCCCAAAAAACACGCTGGTTAACTAGGGAGCCCACAAAGGACGTGCGCGCCCAGCTATGTACATGAACACGGCCCCTCGATTCGCGAGACCGGCCGCGTTATACGAACATTTGTGCAATGCGTGCTCTCGAAACCAGCGTACATTCATGTACATGTACGTCCTTCTTTCGCTCCTGATTAACAGCGTCACACTGCACGACATAAGCATGGTGGCACTTGCCCCAAAGACGGTACACGCTGGGGAAAACTCCGATCGGCCTGAATCCAGAGGTAAGTTTCGGCGGTATAGCGATGATGACCGCACGCAGCTGAGAGGGAACCGTGCTCGTCATGTCCATCATCCCGGCGAGCCTCGAGAGAGCCTCCAAACCCCTTCAAGCAACAACGCAAAATGGCGCAGGATAAAACCGTCAAGCCCCACCGCGGATCTTGGACAAATCCTTGATCCCTGAAGGAAGATGGGGGGCAGAAACATTAATCGCGCCAGGCTGCCTGACAGGGATCTCAAGCGCCTCCCACAAGCCGCGGAAACGCGGGGCCTCGTCGGCCAAGAGCGACTGCGGGCCGAACAGTACGCAACCCGCGGAGCAGAGCGTGGCGCTGGCCTTCCAAGCCTGCGGATCCTTCGTGACAGCGTGCGCCATGCTTCCTCCTTGGTCCACCGTGTCCGTGAGCCACTCCGTCCAAGTCCTTACGGGCCTGGGTCGCACAAGAACTGGAGCCACCCTCCGCGGACTTCAGGGCGGCCCTCCTCCTCCTCCTCCTCCTCCTCCTCCTCCGCCTCCTCCTCCTCCTCCTCCTCCTCCTCCTCCTCCTCGTCGTTCTCCTCGTTATCCTCCTGTCCACACAGACTCGGGGGAGGCGACGCGAGGGCCAGGGCCGCTTCTCGCGCCTGCGGCCAGTCCGCTCTCTGGGCGGTCCAGCGGCGGGAGTGGAGCTGGGGCTATCTGGCACAGCCCTTATTTTCCCCAGAGATCGGCCACCAGTGGGTGATCGGCCTCCTTGCCCCCTCGACCCCCGAACAAGCGACTCAACCCGAAAGTCCTGGCCAGCTCCCGCTCCGCCGGTGCAGCCCAGGACGCGTGCTCCTCGCCAAAGGGCGTGGAGGTCATCTGCACGTCGTCTCCACGACGGGCTCGAATGAGGGCAGCGTCTGACTGGGCATTGACACGCCCGAAATTCATGGACTGAGGGGGAGGAGGAGAGGAGGGGGGAGGACAGAGGGAGGAAGGGGCGGAGAGGGGAGGGAGGAGGCTCCCCACCAAGCCGATGTCGACCAAGGTGGCGCGGACGCGGACGAGGAGCTTGTTGAACCGGAGGAGCTCCTGCCGGCGGGTGGCTCATCAACTCAGCAGTCTCCCGTCTCGTCGCCCCTTCAGCCCGACGGCCCAACACGAGGCCTGCGCTAGGAAATCCAAGGCCGAAGTCGGAATCTGGAGTCCAATCGAATGGAAATCGGAAGCCTCAAATCGATTTGGTTGGAATCGTTAGAACCGAAATCGTTCCTGCCGCCGTCGTCATTGCGGTCGTCGTTGTTAATCCCGCTGCGTCTCACGCAAACAAAGAACAACAAAAACTGCCACCGCCGGGCGTCCACACAAGGGCCCAGAGACTTGCATGCCCTAGGAGGCGCCGTCGACACGAAGATCTGGACCAAAACGTTGGGCTGCAGAGGCTGTGGTGGCGGATAGTCTCCTTCTACTTCTCCTTGCCTCCTCATCCCCTCAAAGTCGACGCTCGAACCTCTCCCTGGCTGCGCTTTGACCAGAATCCCAGGGCGACTCTGGCCGCGATACCGCGACAGGCCTCCCCAGAGGCCCGAAGGCGCCCCGAAAACCTCGACCCTCGAATCTCGAGCCTCTCAAGACTCGATCCTTCTCCTCCTCCTCCTTGTCCTCCACTTCTTGCTCCCCTAGGGGACAGAAGAATGGCATAAACATAACGACTCGGAGGCCCGCATTTCTCGGATCCGCGCTGGACCCCCCTCCCTGGCGCGCGGAGCGAGCCCCGGGGGGCCCCAACGCCGATCCGAGAAGTCCGCGCGGACTTCCGAGTTTATACGTTCCTGCCATTCTTCGTTCCCCTGTCCCCTCCCCCCCCCCGCCGCTCCTGGTTGAGCACCTTGGGCGTGGCTTCATGGGGGGGTCATAAATGGGGGGGTCAGAAACGGTCCCCTTTCGTGCCCCTTTCGAGCCCCTGCGGACCCCCAGGGGGCTCGTTTAGGTACCGTTTGGGTACCTTTTCGGACCACCCTCGCCACCCCCCCATTTATGACCCCTCCATTACGCAACGCCCAAGCACCGCGTCTTGACCAGGATCCCGGGGCGACTCCGGCCGCGACACCGCGACACGCCTCCCCGGAGGCCCGCCGACCCTCGAACCTCGAGCCTCAAGAGCCTCGCTTCTCTCCTCTTCTCCTCCTCCTCCTCCTCCTCCTCCTCCTCCTCCTCCTCCTCCTCCCTCCTCTCCTCCTCCTCCTCCTCCTCCTCCTCCTCCTCCTCCTCCTCCTCCTCCCCTCCTCCTCCTCCTCCTCCTCCTCCTCCTCCTCCTCCTCCTCCTCCTTGCCCTCCACTTCCTGCTCCCCTCCCTCCCCCCCCCCGCCGCTCCTGGTTGAGCACCGTGTTCATGGACTCGTTGTAGTCCACCGGGTACATCGCCTGCGGCGGCACGGAGCGGGACATCGCTTGCGCCGCGATCGCAGGGCGGCGCCCGAGGGCCGCACGCGGCGCGAGGCGGGGCTCCGCCCACGACGACGGCCAGGGGGATCGATCCTCGAGGACCTCGGGAGGCAGTGGAAGAACTTGAAGGGAACCTGGGATACACAAATTCGCCGGCCCAACGGGCCAGCGGCGTGCTAAGATCTCCGGTAACTACCTAACAATATTTCTAGTTCGCGCTCCCGGGGCGGCCCCTGGGGGGCCCCGGACGAAAAGTACCCCGGCCGATCCCCGGCTGACCCCCGGGCGATCCCCAGGGGGGAGGCTATTTTTCGCCACCTCTCACGAGGATCGTGGCCTCCGAGGGGGGGGGCTGCCAACGACTACCCCCCCTCCCGCGGGCCCAAGGGGCCCCCAAGAGCCCCCCAAGCGGCCCCAGGGGAGCACAATACGCCGCCAAGGAGCCCCAAGACGCTCCCAAGAAGCCCCCAAGAAGCCCCCAAGACGGCCCCAAGAGGCCCCAAATAGCGCTCCAGGGCAGGCGGAATGAGCGAAGCGATTAAATGAATGGACACAGAAAACAGGATACCCCACATTTTCTCATATTTTCTGGGTTTCTGTCTTCCCCCCCACTTCCCATATTTCCCCATGTTTTCTGGGGGGTCGACGATTCATTGTGTCTGCGTGTTGTTTTTCCCTCCTGAGAATTGGACGCCTTCGCTGCTGCAGCAAGGCTGGAGGCCCGGCGAGCGGGCCGATCCCGCCCCCTCTTCCGCCGCTCCTGCCCATTACAGCTTCTGGCAGTGCAGTCGGGCGGTTGAGAAGGTGATTCGCTCGTTGGAAATACTAGGGAGGATCAAACCCCATTGGGGGGCTGTTACGCCAGAGTGGGCCTCGGACTGAGGGCCGACATAATCATGTACCGAACTATTCTGGGGTCGAGGATCGCTGACGCCTCGAAAGACGCCAACGCGACACGGTGCACACAAACCGTCCCTGGAAGCAACCCAGGCTCAACGAGTAGGCACTAAAGGCAGACCGCTCCAGTGCACTGCAGGCCCATGGCCACACCTGCTCGTTGGCAGGGTGGGGAAGAGCAGGAGGATAGAGTCTCGCCAGAGGGAGGTTCGTGGGCATCCTTGCCTTTGTGCACCCCTCTGTGCCCTAGCGGTTGGCGGACTTCTCTTCATGTCCGATGTGCTCCGCCATTATTTTCCCACCGTGCACGCACTGGTTGCAGATCCTTGATGTTGATCGATCGCTGCGTTCCGATCTTCTCGTTCTCGCACCGTGGCCATCACGACGCGACGGCTCGCGCCAGCAAGCTCCTGGCCAAGTAGCTCCTCCCGCTCATCCTCCTTCTCCTCCTCCTCCTTCTCCTCCTCCTCCTCCTCCTCGTCATCATCACCATCATCAGCATCATTATCATGATCATCATCATGATCGTCATCACCATCATCATCAGCATCATCATCTCAGCAGCATCATCATCAGCATCAGCATCAGCATCAGCATCAGCATCAGCATCATCATAATCATCAGCAGCATCATCATCAGCAGCACTATCATCATCAACACCATCATCAACATCATCATCCTCATCCGCGTCCTCATCCTCATCATCATCCTCATCCTCGTCATCATCATCATCATAATAATAATCATCATCAGCAGCATCAGCATCATCAGCATCATCATCATCATCATCATCATCATCATCATCATCATCATCATCATCATCATCATCATCATCATCATCATCATCATCATCATCATCATCATCATCATCATCATCATCATCATCATCATCATCATCATCATCATCATCATCATCATCATCATCATCATCATCATTATCATCATCACCATCATCCGCCCCCTCCCTCTCCTCCCCTCCTCCTCCTCCTCCTCCTCTCCTCGCCTCCTCCTCCTCCTCCTCCCCTCCTCCCTCTCCTCCTCCTCTTCCTCCTCCTTGTTCGAGGTTCAAAAAAGTCAGGCCGCTGATGCGGCAAGGCCGCCAGTCCCTGCGCCGCGGGCGGCCTGTGAGTACTCGGTGTCGAACGGGGCGCGCAGGTCACCCAGATACTTGGCACCTCGGCGGCCAGGCGGCCCCGACCACCCCCGCGGGCTGCGGACCTCCTCCTCGTCCTCCTCCTGCTCCAACTCCTCCTCTTCGTCCTCGTTTTCGTCTTCGAGCTCCTCCTCCTGCTCCTGCTCCTCCTGCTCCTCCTCCTCCTCCTCCTCCTACTCCTCCTACTCTCTCTCCTCCTCCTCCTCGTCCTCCTCCTCCTCCTTCCTCCTCCTCCGCTTCCGCCTCCTCCTCTTCCAACTCCTCCTTCTCCTCCTCCTCCTCCTCCTGCTCCTCCTCTTTCCGCTGGCTCTTGCCTGCTCGCTTGTCACGAAACCAATGTATCCCAAATCTTCGATACCTGCCCTCGTCGTCTCTGATCGCGCCGCCCTTAGGGAGTATCTATTCCTTACGTGCCAGGTGCAAGTCTGGCACAGCCACTAAAACAGGGGAAGGGCGGGAGGAGGGAAGGACAAGGGGGAGAAGGATTGAGCACGAAAAATCGCGCCGCCCTTGGGGGGAGCATCTATTGCTCACGTGCCAGGTGTATGTCTGGCACAGCCACTAAAACGGGGGAAGGGCAGGAGGAGGGAAGGGACAAGGGGGAGGGAGAAGGATTGAGCACGAAAAATCGCGCCGCCCTTGGGGAGCATCTATTGCTCACGTGCCAGGTGTATGTCTGGCACAGCCACTGAAACAGGGGAAGGGCGGGAGGAGGGAAGGGACAAGGGGGAGGGCGAAGGGTTGAGCACGAGTAATCGCGCCGCCCTTGGGGAGCATCTATTCCTCACGTGCCAGGTGTAAGTCTGGCACAGCCACTGAAACAGGGGAAGGGCGGGAGGAGGGAAGGGACACGAGGGAGGGCGAAGGGTTGAGCACGAGAGACATTGGCTTGGCAGGCAGGGGACTATAGCTGCAGGAACCGGGGGCGGGCGGATCGGGCGGCCGGGCCCCAGCGCGGGTCGGGCGCGCGGGCCCTGGGTCGAGCGGGCGGGTCGCTGAAGTTTCACTCCGGCACAAATCGCGAGGACGTCTCGAGCGGTAGCGCGATTCCCGGACAAATCGTGAGGGAATCCCGAGCGACAGCGTGATACCCGGTTTTCGAGGACGTGACGTCCCAATGCAGTGAAAGGGGGCCCCGAACGAGAGTGCAAGTCCTGGATAAATTGTGAGGAAGTCGTGCGCGAAAGCGCGATGCTGAATAAACTGCGAAGTAATATTCGGCGGGAACCGCTGTTGTGGTAAACCGGGGGCCAGCCCAGTCTGAGGCGCAAGGCCTTCCCTCGTAAAACACAAGGTGCGAGCCCGGGGGGGGCACTTCGAAACGCAAAAAATGTACTGGATGGGGGTATCAACACTAATGGGTGAAAAATGAGCCCCGAATCAATTTCATCGTCATCCCCACCGTAATCATGAGCAGCATCGTCATCATCAGCATCGTCACCATCATCATCATCATCATCATCATCATCATCATCATCATCATCATCATCATCATCATCATCATCCTCATCCTCATCCTCATCCTCATCCTCATCCTCATCCTCATCCTCATCCTCATCCTCATCCTCATCCTCATCCTAATCCTCATCATCATCAGCAGCAGCATCAACATCATCATCATCATCATCATCATCATCATCATCAACATCATCATCATCATCATCATCAGTATCATAATCATCATCATCATTATCATCATCAGCATCATCATCAAACCATCTACATCATCAACAACAGCAGCATCCTCACCATCATCATCATCATCATCATCATCATCATCCTCAACCTCATCATCATCATCATAATCATGATCAGCATTATCTTCGTCGTCGTCATCATCATCATCACCAGCAGCATCAGCATCAGCATCAGCATCATCATCCTCATCATCATCAGCATCATCATTTTCATCATCTGCATCATCATCAGCATTAGCATCATCATCGTCACCATCATCATCACCACCATCGTCGTCATCGCCGTCGTCATCAGCAACATCAGCATCATAATCCGCATCAACATCACAACTACCACCCACGTCACCACAATATACCGACTGGCACAATCACCATCATCACCTCCCCGCCATTAGCTTCATCGTCAAACTCCTCCTCCCCCTCCTCCTCCGTCCAACTGTTCTGAGTTGCAAGGGGTCTGGGCTCGAGAATCATCGAACCACTCGACGCATCTAAGACAACTACCAGGACATCCGCCAAAGTGCTTTGTGCAAACTGGGGCGCGTTAGAACCTGGGCCGGCGCGAGAGCAGAAATAATGCTTCACTAATTCGCCCGAGGGGGATCATGGTACGGTTTGCCCTTGGGAGCCTTGGCGTCAAGAGTTGTTTCGCTCTTGGAGAGCTTGGCGAGAAGAGTTTGTGTCACGTAATCGTTCGCTCTTGAACGCCGTGGCGTTAAGGAGTTGTGTTGCGTCACCGGTCATTACTGGGGGCCTTGGTGTGAAGAGTCGCGTGCGTCACCGCTCACTCTTGGGAATCCTGGAGGAGTTACGAGCTGTTTACCTAACCGTTCGCTCTTCGGAGCCTTCGCGCTAAGAGCTGTTTAAGTTACCGTTCACTCTTGTGAGCCTTGGCGTTCAGAACTTGGGAGTCAATTCTGGGCTATTTGGGGGCCCTCTTGGGCTGTCCAGGGGCCCTCTTGGACCGTATTGGGGGGCTTCGGCTGGCTTGCTGTTTTTTTTGTTTCATCATTTTTCGCTGCTGAGGGGCCTCTTGACTTGCTCTTGGAAACATATTGAAAGCCCTCTGTGGGCCTGTTGGGGGTCATTCGGGTCGTTTCGGGGCCCTCTTGGGCCGTCCTGGGGCCCTTCCGCACCGTCTCGGGGAGCTTCGGCCGGCTTGGGGTGCTCGCGAAGCCCTCTTGGGACGCTCCCGTGGCCCCCGACTGGGGCTTTCCTGGGGGCCCCCTGTTCCTTCCCCTTCGCACGAGTAATCCCCCTGAGCCTCTTTGTTTTCACCCAGGGCTGAACCTAAACGGTGTTTTTCGTTTTCGGTTTGTTTTCGTTGTTCCTCGTTTTGTCTTCAACCCGCCCCTGCCGCAAGACGAAGTCGAAACGAACACGCCCCACGAGATCGCCGCAGCACCGTTTAGGTCCAGCCCTGTCTTCACCATGCATGATGGCCTGCCTGCCGCAAACCAAGGGGAAAGGGTACTCCAGATTTCGTAATAAAAGGGAGGGGGTCTGGACCCTCCAAGACAAGCCATTTAAGACCTCCCCCGTGGGAGAACCCTCCAAAACATCGTCCCCAGACCCCCCAGGCCCTCCAAGATAGCCTGGAAGAGACCCCCCCCGAAATGAGACCCCCCTCCCTTTATTACGAAATCTGGAGTATAGTCAACGAGCCATTCCCGACCAGGGCCTTCCAGGCCAGCGACCTCGCCCTCACGAGGCCCGCACCGGATCCGAGACCGCAGCGGCAGCGCTCGCACGCATACTGAAAGAGGAAGAGGAGAAGGAGGAGGAGGAGGAGGAGGAGGACGGCTGAACCTACACGGCGTTTTTCGTCTTCGTGTTGTTTTTGTTGTCCGTCGCTTTTGTCTCGAATCCGCCTTTACCGCAAAACGAAGTCGAAACGAAAGCGGCCCGCGAACTCGCCAAAAACTCCGTTGAGGTCCAGCCCTTGAGGAGGGGGGGAACAGTCCGCGGCCTGCTGACGGCAAGATTGCGCGATGAGCGTACGACGGCAAGGAGTGACCCGCAGCCGCGCCTCAAAGAGTGTTTTTCGGGGGTGCCTGGCGTGTCCTCTCTCCTGGCAGAGCGTACCGAGAGGAAAAGCATCGAGCGAACACAGCATTGGACGAGCGTGGCGAGGGTGAAAGCGAACGGGAGAGCCACGGAACCCGATCAGGTAAAGACGATGACGACGGTAGCACATGTCCAAACCAGTGGGGGAAGAGTTGAGCAGCCGAGGACCGTTACCATTCGGGAGCGGCCAAGAGGGGGGTGTCCAAGAGGGGGGGTGCAAATCATGACCGGCGGCATGTGTGCGGCCCAGCGGGGGGGCCAGGGACGTAATGAAATAAGAAGAGGCGCCATGAGATCTGGGGAAATATCATGGCCCGCGCCATGATATCCCCCCCTAGTCATCACCCCCCTCTTTTCCGCTCCCAAGTTACCATAATGATCAACACAATCGAGATCTTCACCGGCAGAATGAGGGCATGTGAGAGAACGTGCGGATGTGCATGCTGGGCGCGTGAGGGCCCTTGGAATCGCGACTGTCAAATAAGCCAGTGTTTTCTAGATGACGGATGCGGCTTAGGTGCAACAGCGATCAGTTATAGAACGCTGTTGGAGGCCTGGAAATGGGCACCAACACCAGCACAGGGGGTTGCCTCCACATGGGGAATATGATCCTAGACTTCGGTGTTCGTGGTAATATTTCGGCCACCTCGGAAGCCAGAATATTGCCACCAGCACCGAGATCGGAATCGTCTTCCCTCGGTGGAGGCACACCGCCGATCCTGGTGTTGGCGTCAACCTCTCTAGGCCTGCGACGCTGGGCCTGGGAAAGCCACTTGTGGATACGCCTTGCGAGTATGCCATGGGGGTGCTCTCAAGCTCCTGCTCCTGCTCCTGCTCCTGCTCCTGCTCCTGCTCCTGCTCCTCCTCCTCCTCCTCCTCCTCCTCCTGCTGCTGCTGCTGCTGCTGCTGCTGCTGCTGCTGCTGCTGCTGCGCTCCTCCTCCTCCTCCTCCTCCTCCTCCTCCTCCTCCTCCTCCTCCTCCTCCTCCTCCTCCTCCTCCTCCTCCCTCCCTCCTCCGCCTCCGCCTCCGCCTCCCGCCTCCTCCGCCCTCCCCTCCCTCCTCCTCCTCTCCCCTCCTCCTCCTCCTCCCTCCTCCTCCTCCTCCTCCTCCTCCTCCTCCTCCTCCTCCTCCTCCTCCTCCTCCTCCTCCTCCTCCTCCTCCTCCTCCTCCTCCTCCTCCTCGTAGCCCAGAGCTTTCAAGATAGTCGATGCTGGAGCTTCGTGGCGTCCTCAAAGAATGTCACGTGCCAGGACCAGCCGGGACCGGCGGGCTGCGCGGAAGCAAGCAGCACCTGTGATGAAGCCGACGCATGTAGGCCAAGAAAAAGGCTGTCCACAAGCGGCTGCACATTCGGGCCAAAACGTGTTCTGGCTCGTCCTCCAGAGCCTCAAGATGTGAGACGAGGGGGCGAAAGGAGTCGCTGCGGATGCTATGACTGAAACAGACTGCTCTGGTCAGCGCACAGACATCTTGAACTCCAACTGGGAGGTGGAACGCGGTGATTTGGGTATATCGAGCATGCGAGAAAGCATTTCTTGGATCGGCAGTGAGGTACATGACAGCTTCCTTGTACATGTGAGCGAGGTCATTGGAATCAAAATGTCATTGCATGATGAAGGTGCGGATAAAAAAAAACATGATCTTGAAGCTATGACCGAGAAAATGGGTCCAAGTCCGAGCCGGTGTGTCATACCGACTCACCGTCGGAATGTCGGACAAGCTTCACTCCGCGCCAAGCCCTTAGCATTTCGGCCGATGGAAGCCCATACATACCCGACAATATCTAGGACCTGGACCGCCTTGAAACCCCCTTTGAGCACACGAACCGAGTCCCTCAGGAGGCTCATGTCCAGGGAACCCACGACCGAGATCTGGCACCTCTTGGAACTGAGCCTGAGACCCGCAATCTTTTCGAGCCGCGCCAGCAGGGCGGGCTCTTCTGGGAGCCTCTTGGGGCAGTGTGGGGCCCTCCTTGGGCCGTTATCAGGTCTCGTGGGCCGTTTTGAGGCCCTACTGGGAGCCTCTTGGGACGTCTTTGGCGCGCTCTCCGAGGCGCCCTGGGCCGTCTTTGGCCGCTCTCGGCCCGAAAGACTGCAAATCCTTCAAACACATGAAAAGTATGTGGAATGCCTCCTCTGGGCCTCTCGGGAGTCCTCTTGGGGGCTGGGGCGTCTTGAGAACCTCTTGGGCCGTGACGAGGCCATCATGAGCCCTCTGGGATCGCTCTTGGACTGTCTTCGGGTCCTCTTGAATCTCTCTGAGGCTATTTGGGGGCATTTTGGCCATCTTGGAAGCCATTTGAACCGTCTTGAAACCACTTTGGCCGGAAACACTGACACCACGACTGCTAAAAGGCGTGTTAGAAACCGCGCCCGGCCACGCCCCCCCGCCCCCCCCCATGTGGGCTAAAACCCTGTGCGGAACTTCTCTCGCTAGCTCTCCTTCGTCATGTTCCTCTGCTGTCTGGTGCGTGAGGTGTCTTTAATGTTTTCTCGGGATGTTTCTATCTCCTCCTTGCGCATCCTTTGGAAATCCGCCCCCTATCCAGAGCCGATGTTTGGCAATATCCCTTTTTACATGACTGTTTGGAGAGGCTTGCCGAGCAGAGGCTGTAGCCGAAGATGGTAACAACACATACACACAAACAACCCAACCAGCCAGACACTACCCAACCAGCGGAAGAAACGGACAAGTATAGTCAAACAGCAAAAACGCCCCAAACCCGCCAAACTTGTTTCAAGACAACGGAAAGACCTCCAAGGCGGTCTCAAGACTGTTGAAGAAGGCCTCGAGACGCTCCAATAGACACCCAAGATGGCCTTAAGACGGCCCAGAGAGCCCCAAGACGGCCCAAAAGGATTCCAAGAGGACGAGAAGCTCCCGGCAACAGAACACATGGCTTCCCTTTGGGGCCTTGACCGCTTTGAACAGACTGCCCTTTCGGGCTTCCGGTGGCCGAAGACGGCCCAAGAGGTCCCCGAGAGGGTCCAGAGACAGCCCCATTTTGTGTGTGTCGGCGGCGAGGCGGGGCAATCCGCACCAGCGAAAGAGCGAAGCAGCGGTACTACTAAGCTAACTGTCCGGCGTGCAAGAGCGGAAGGAGGATAAAGGGGCCGCGGGCGGAGAGGGAGGAGGAGGAGGCGCTCAGAGGCGGAAAAAATTCCACCGTGTGCGGGCCAGGGCGGCAGCAGCGGCGCAGACCAGAAGACAGCCCAACAGGGTCCCAGGAAGACTGCGTGACGGCCCAGAGGAGCTCCAAGACGGCCCAACATGCTTCCAAGACGGCACAAAGGGCGTCCGTCACGACCCCAGAAGGGGCACAAGAGAGGAACATCGAGCTGTCCTTGACAGCCTTCTCCTAAAGGATGGCGACCAATATCCCTAGCATGCCCCAATGAGGATCCCAGAGAACCCTAAGACGCCCCCGAGAGCCCAAGAGACCATTACGAAGCTCCGGAGAGGTACTGAAGAGGCCCAAGAGAGGCTTCAAGATGCGTCTTTCCCTCAACACTCTTCACGCTAAGCTGCTGTGCTAGCGCGGCCGCAGGGTTTGCCGCAGGTAGCTAGCTGGATTACTCGGGTCGACGGAGAGACGGATGGTAGAGGATGACGGAGCGGAATGAAAGAAAAGGAGGCGAAGGGGGAGAAGGAGGGAGGGAGAGAGGGAGGGAAGCCGGCCTACTCTTTCCCTCCTCCGCTTCTTCCTCCCAGCCCTCCTGCTCCTCTTCGTTCCGCTCCTCGCCCTTCTTCCTCCAACAGACGCGACGACGACGAAAACGATGAAGACGAAGACGACGACGACGACGACGACGACGACGGAGATGATGACGAGGAGCCGGGGGCGGCGCTCGACTCCGCGAGGATCTGGTCGGCCGTCTTCCCGCCCTCGCCGCTGCCGCCGCCCTTCGGCTGCATGGAGTTGGCCGTGCTCAGGACCTCCATGGCCTCGAACGATGGAGGAGGAGGAGGAGGAGGAGGAGGAGGAGGAGGATAGATATGGACACATAGATGAATAGATAGATGGATGGATATATATATATATATATATATATAGATTGATAGATCGATCGGCTCGGCCTCGGAGGAGCCCACGCCGCCAGCTAGGACAGCGACGCGGGCCCCAGGAGGAGTCTTGTCCGCGGAGCCGCCGCGGCGGTGGGGACGAGACGGGCGGCCGTGGCCTTGGGCTCAGGCGGGCCACGCAGCGCGGGGGCACCCGCTGAGCCTGCCCGACGCCGGCGCGCTCGCCCGAAGCGCTGCTCGCGCCAGGCAGCGCACCAGGCAGGGGGGGGGGGGGGCACCGGCAGGCGGGGGAGCGGCGGGCTGGGCCTCCCCGGGGGCCCCGCCTCGGCCCTCGGGGCCGTGAGACGATCTGTGGACCCCGGAGGGGTCCGCGGGAGCAGATCTGAGCGGACTTGACGGCGTGAAGGGCTCGAGGATCGAGATGAATATGTCGTCGTCGTCGTGGTCGTGGTCGTGGTCGTGGTCGTCGTCGTCGTCGTCGTTCAAGGTCGGCGGCACCTGCCGTAAGGCCTCTCCAATCAGTTGATGTCTGCGCAATCCTTGAGGGAGCAAGATGGGCGCTGAGGGAAATGACAGCGCGACAAGACCTGGCAGTGCAGAGAGGAAGGCAAATACTTGCAGCAGTAGCCCGGGACTTTGGTGGAAGGGGAAGAAGGAGGAGGGATAACCATATTCCAGGAACGAGATTCCAGGGTGCGCTTCGCTCTTTCAGGGGCCTCCTAGGATGCTCTCGCCGCCACGGCTGACCTGTTGCGACTCGGAGGAGTCACACAATGCTCGTGTTGCTTGTGCTTGTTGCATCCGCCCCCGCTTCCCACCAGCAAGCGGCTCGGGATGAGAAGCTTGTCTTGGCATGGAGAGGGGTCGACAGCTTCCTGGCGCGCTGGAGAAGAGGAGCCCACGACGAGAGGGATCTGCGCTTGATGGTCTCAGGAACGTGCGCGAGCGAGGGGATGCCCCGGTCGCCCGAGACGTCATCGAAGAACGACCCGCATCCCAAAAACGTGCGGGGACCCCGAATCCCCACTACAGCGGAGGCCAGTCCACAAGAAACCCAACCCTGAGGCCCCAGGAGGTCCACTGACGTTTGGTGTGGGAACGCAACGCTCCCCATCGCAACACCATCGAAACCCAAGACACCCAGGGCACCCTGGAGGCTTGGGGCAAGCAGGGTGCGTCTTGGCATGGGTCTCCACTGTAACTCACCACGCGGCGTGGTCACCACACCGTCCGTCGACGAGCGCGTTCCACTACTCGCAAAGTAACTACTCGCAAATGGCCTGGATGCGCCGCGGGGGATCTACGACGAATCTCTTCGAAACAAGCATCTGTTTGTCGGACGTTTGCGAGGGGGCACTCTGCGAATAGTGTTCGGTCGGGCATGTCCTCCTGCAGGCGGATTTGGGAGGAAAAATTAAAAATTGTCAAAACATATTCAAAAATAGCCAAAATTGTCAAAATTGCCAAAAATCAAAAATTGGAGGAAAAATTAAAAATTAAAAATTGTCACAACATGCACCAATAGTCCCCAGACCTTTTTTTGACTATTCTTGAATACTCCTCCTGCAGAGGGACAGGCCCGACTTGAGAGCAGCGGAGCGCGCCCGGCGAGCCCGCGGGCCCGCGAGGAGCGGCGGGCCGAAGAGCGGGGGCAGAGGCGGCCGCCCGAGAGGAGGCGAGGAGGGGGGGGGGGAGGAGAGGGCGGGGAGGCGGCGCCGAGTGGAAGTCAAAAAATCCACCCCCATAATTAAAGGGGCCCCAGGACACACAAATAAATACACACAAATAAAATGATTCACCATATTTTCCTATATTTTCTGGGTTTTTGTCTTCCCCCCCACTTCCCATATTTTCCAATATTTTCTGTGGAATCGCCGATTAATTGTGTCTGTGTGTTTTTTCCCCTCCTGAGGGGAGGCGGCGCCGAGTGGAAGTAAAAAATCCACCCCCATAATAACCACCCCGACAAGCGAAGTCGTTTAGTACACGCGCCCAAAGAAGGAAGCAAACAGGGCAGGGCTGATTACTAAATGCCCAGGGCCGTTTAGTAAACGCCCATTGTCCGGTCCGGGTGGTTTTGCCTCCCCTGACCGAGGGCGAAAGGAACGGCCGGTGTTGAGCGGGGGCCCCGGGCGGAAGGTGTCACAGAACCGTCGCCCGGGGGGCCTGGACCAGCCCAGACAGCCCCCCATGGCCGCCCAGGACGGCGGGGGGGGGAGCTCGCGGAGGGCGGCGGGCAGGAGGAGGAGGAGAGGGCGCATCGAACGCTGCGTGGTTGGTGGGATCTCCAAGCTCTCCTCCTCCTCCAGCTCCTCCTCCTCCTCCTCCTCCTCCTCCTCCTCCTCCTGACTCTCCCACTCCTGACTCTCCCCATCTTCCCCCTCCTCCTCCTCCACCTCCTCCTCGTCCTCGTCTCCTCCTTCTCCTCCTCCCCCTCCTCTTCGCCTCATCCTCCTTCTCACTCCTCCTTCTCCTCCCCTCGTCTCCCCAACTCTCCACTAAAGCAGGCTGGCTCGACATCGGCCAATGCGATCGGGGGCACATGCGGCCCGTGTTCGGTATGCTACACGGCTGCCGGGGCACGGCCGCAGAGCGCGCCGAGCGGAGGCCTCCTTGATGGAGGCGGAGAGGTTGGCGTTCGCGTGCAGGCCGAAGGCCTCGGGCATCTGGTTGATGGGCAGGCTGCGGATGTACTCCAGGTAGCCCTGGCGGTCCTCGGTGGCAGTGCGGGAATACATAGGGGAACGAAGAATGACGCAAGCATAAAAACTCGGAAGTCCGCGTGGATTTCTGGGATCGCCGCCAGGGGGGGTGCCAGCGCCGATCCGAGAAATGCGCGCGGACCTCCTAGTTTTAATGTTTGTGTAATTCTTCGTTCCCCTAAATACAATGGATGCCAAACCACAAGAAGCCTTCCACAAGAGACCCAGTCCTGAGACCCCAGGACTTCCATTGACTTCTGGTGTGGGAACGTCGCGCTTTCCATCGCAAAACCATCGAAATCCAAGATACCCAAGGCACCCTGGAGGCAAGCAAGGTGTTTCATGGCATGGCTCTCCACTGTAACAATACAAGAGAGATAGCACATCCGTCACGCCCCCTTACATTGCACTCCCTGAGCTCCTCCTCCTCCTCCTCCTCCTCGCCATCATCTCTCAAGCCACCACGGGACGAGACATGCCAGTCCATTGATCACATCCACGAACCCCTGCAAATGCACCTCCCTGCATGCTGCCCTCGCCATCCTGGTTACGCGTCCAACTGCTAGCGCATCTCCTCTCACTACTCCCCCAATGCTCCATACACGCATGCGATTGCGGCTCGAGCGCGTCCGTGAACGAAGGCGCATAGTAGATGCCAGACTCCGAGAACTTGTAGCCATCCTTCAAGATGCCTTCGCAGTAAAAGTCCGTCAATATGTTGTTGATGGTATTCCTGCTTGGCAGCCAGAAGTACTGCCGTCACGCCAGGAGGGTTTGCAGATGCCCCTGGCCTCGCCATGTCCATTCCCAATCCCACCAGCCCATTCGGTCGTGAGTGATTCAGACCATGTCGTCTTCCAACCCCCTTATTTCCCTGCGGGGAAGGACTTATCACTATTCCCTACTAATATGCACCCCCTCCCCCAGACGACTGGCAGCCAACCAGGAACCATGATGACACCATGCTCTCCCCCACACCATCCCTGTCAGAGAACAAAACACTCTGCATTCACATTTGGAGTATGCGCGGCCAACCCGATGCGCCCCCCCTCCACCATCCCTAAAAACAATACAAAACACACTTTGGGGCAAAATCTTGAATCATGTCCTTGAGTCCCGCGAACACTTTGTTACTTATGTATTGGGAGGGTGGATGGGAGTGAGCTAGACGACTTGCTATCTAGCGAATGTCTTGATCACTGTTCCCTATTAATATACACCCCTTCCCCCACCCGGCCGGCGGTCAACCCGGAACCATGCCAACCCCATGCCAACATCCATGTCACAAAACAATACAAACAACACTCTGCCTCCACATTTGGAGCATGCGCGGCCAACCCGATGCCCCCCCCACCACCACCACCATCCCTGTCAAAAATCAATACACAATGTACAGTGGGGCAAAGTCTTGGATCATGTTCGGGAGGCCTCGAGCATTTGTTATTTTTTTTGACGGGACCAGCGGGGGTGTCGTTAGATTCGCTGCTGTGCGCAGGGCTACCACCCCTGACAAAACTATACCAAATGCACCTCGCGGCTAAACTTGAATCATGCGCGGCACCCCGCAATCACTATAAAGTTGTTTTTGACAAGGACGGCGGGGATGGTGGCGTGTGGCCTGCTGTGCGCAGGCCCACCGAACACAATCATTTGTTTTTCCTCTGGCGGCGCCACAGCGAAGGCTGAACGACCTACCCCACACGCCTCACTACTGGGAGAGCAGAGAAGTCGGTGTCGAAATGTACGTGCACCTTGTTTGACAGCATATTGCGATAAAGTAAGCACTCCGTCGAGACACCTATAGCACCACTTGGACCGCATAGAATCTGTGAAGGAAGGCGTACGCACGAATCCCTCACGAATGTATTGCTAAATGTGTTCCCGTACGAATCGGCAGCATCGCGCGTCAATAAAGCAAAAGTATCACTCGCTGAACCTTTCCTGAGCCAAGCGTGCTTCTTCTCTTTCGACTTGGAAGCCCCCAATATAGCTTTCTGAATGGCGAATTTTAGCTGGAGAGGGAAGCTCGTGTCAGGTCGCGCGCGGACAAAAAAATCGTATCGGAAGCTGTTCTCACTCTCATACTTCTTGACCATATTCCAGCATTGCTGAATGCTCCAGAACTGCGGGCTATGCCAACTGAAATGAGACATCGGATCAGTTCCCTTTTTATGATAGCATTCTGACCCATGTTTCAAGGTCGCTTCATAGTCGCTGATGTCACTGCCATTGTAATATCGGTGCGAAACGGGCTTCAATGATTTTAGGATGCTGTCAATGTCTGCACCCACGTGGTTCTTCTCCCCACCTTTACCCGAATCCTTCAGGTTCAGAAATAGAAATACGTCTGGGTGCGAAAACGCGGAAATCATGTGATCCTTTGCGCTTCTGACTACCCTTGTGAAGCTCCTGAATTGACCTGCGAAGCACACTGCCGCTCGCCCTTCATTCTTCTGACTTCGGGTCCGCAAACCTGTAGCCACAGAAAAGAGCGTCAAAGCAAGAAACGCAGATTGCGGACTGGGACACATGTGGAAAACATGACCTGGACCTGAGACGGGTTGATGCTTGAATATGTGGGTAAAATGTTTATTCCAGATCGTGGTCTGATGGTCCGGGGACCCGAAAACGGCCCCCAGAGGCCGAACTCGAGGAAAACGTCGAGACACAAAAATCCACCTGAGGTCCGGGGAAATGGACAGTGTAGCGTGGAATGTATGATACTCCACACCTTGAGCCAAAATGGCTACGGGCCACCGGACACAATCATAGATAACAATCCGCTGTGCACAGCCTGTCGACAGGTCTATGATAGGCCTGTCGACAGCCTATGCACAGGCCTATGCCGCCAGAGGCGCAGAGGCCCTGACAGAGCCTATCGATAGGCCTATGACAGGCCTGTCGACAGGCTATGCTTAGCCCTGTCGTAGGCCTGTCGACAGGCTGTGCACAGGCCTATCACAGGCCTGACGACAGGCTGTGCACAGCTTACCATAGGCCTATGCAGAGACCTATGCATAGGGTGTGCACAGGTCTCTGCTCTGGCCGAGCCGGGCGCGCGAGCACATCTGGACACACTGCGACAGGCCTATGCATAGCCTATCCACAGGCCTATGATGGGCCTGTGGACAGGCTGTTGACAGGCCTACGACCGGGCTATGCATAGCCTGTCGACAGGCCTGTGGTAGGGCTATCGGTAGGGTGCGTACAGCCTCACCACAGGCCTGTGCCCAGGCCTGCATTAGCCCTGTAGTAGGTCTGCGATAGGGCTGTGCACAGCCTGTGCATAGGCCTGTGGGGGATGCGGCGTAGGCCTATGCGTACCCTATGCACAGGTCCGAACCCAAACCCCGCGACAGGCCTATGCATAGCCTTTGCATAGGCCTGTCGGGTCGAGCGCCCCAGGAGAGTTCCAGGAGGGACTCCCCCAAGTCCCAAGAGAGCTCGAGATCGGCGCCAGGGGGGAGCTTCAGGTCGTCCCGACAGAGCCCCAAGAGAGCCCGGAGAGAGCAGAGGCTCGCGCTGTCAACACCGACGTTTTGACAGCGCGCGATCTCGAGCCAGAAGCTTCAAGAGCGCTCCGAGAGATCCCCAGGAGAGCTCCAAGAGGGGCTCCCTACATTCCCAAGCGGGTTCCAAGAGGTAGCATAGGGTGCTGCAGATACCCCCTCAGAGGGCTCGAAGAGGGCCCAGAGAGGGCAGAGGCTCGCGCTGACAAAGCCAACGTTTGGAGACGAGGTCTGGAGCCCCGGTGGACGTCGGGCTCTGGAGCCCCCGAGCCCAAGGGCCTAGGGTAGCCTAGGGTAGGCCCTACCCAAGGCCCTAGGGTAGCCTTCCCTATGCCCTCACAAGGCCCTAGGGTGGCCTAGGGTAGGCCCTACCCAAGGTCCTAGGGTAGACCTAGGGTAGGCCTTACCCAATGACCTAAGGTAGACCTAAGCATATAGAGCCCGGAGAATAGGCCTACCCTAGGCCTACCCCTAGCCCTACCCCCTAGGCCTACCCTAGGCCTACCCCTAGGCATACCCCCTAGGCCTCCACTAGGCCTACCCCCTAAGCCTACCCCCTAGGCCTACCCTAAGCCTACCCCCTAGGCCTACCTCTTAGGCCTACCCAGAGCCTACCCCCTAGGCCTACACCCTAGCCCTACCCTAGGCCTACCCCTAAGCCTACCCCTAGCCCTACCCTAGGCCTACCCCTAGGCCTACCCCCTAGGCCTACCCCCAGAGGCCTACCCCCAGAGGCCTACCCCCAGAGGCCTACCCTAGGCTTACCCCTTAGCCTACCCCCTAGGCCTACCCTAGGCCTACCCCCAGGCCTACCCTCTAGGCCTACCCTGTGCCTAGCCCCTGGCCTACCCCCTTAGCCCTACCCTAGGCCTACCCCCAGGCCTACCCCCTAGCCCTACCCTAGGCTTACCCTTAGGCCTACTCCCTAGGCCTACCATAGGCCTACTCCTAAGCCTACCCCTAGGCCTACCCTAGGCCTACCCCTAAGACTACCCCCTAGGCCTACCCTAGGCCTACCCTCTAAGCCTACCCCCTAGGCCTACCCCTGGGCCTACCCCTACCTAGCCTAGGCCTAGCCTAGGCCTACCCCCTAGCGTACCCCAGACCTACCCCTAAGCCTACCCCCTAGGCCTACCCTAGGCCTACCCCTAGACCTACCCCCTTAGCCTACCCTATAAGCCTACCCACCCCTTGCCCGCCCGCCGGATCGAGCAGACGGACCAGAAAAAGGGTCGGGTCGGGTCGGCCAGGCATTAAAATGTGGAGAATGTTCGCTTTAGCACGCGTGAACCCTAACGGGCGGGTCGGGTCGGGTCGGGCGGGCGGACCCTAATGGGCGGGTCGGGCGGACCTAACGGGCGGGTCGGGTCGGGCGGGCGGGACATTAAAGTATGGTGCGTGTACACTTGACACGCGTGGACCCAAACGGGCGGGTCGGGTCGGGCGGGCGGACCCTAACGGGCGGGTCGGGTCGGGTCGGACCCTAACGGGCGGGTCGGGTCGGGCGGGCGGGACATTAAAGTATGGTGCGTGTACACTTGACACGCGTGAACCCTAACGGGCGGGTCGGGTCGGGTCGGGCGGGCGGACCCTGACGGGCGGGTCGGGTCGGGTCGGGCGGACCGCAACCCTAACGGGCGGGTCGGGTCGGGCGGGCGGGACATTAAAGTATCGTGCGTGTACACTTGACACGCGTGAGCCCTAACGGGCGGGTCGGGTCGGGTCGGGCGGGCGGACCCTGACGGGCGGGTCGGGTCGGGTCGGGCGGACCCTAACGAGCGGGTCGGGTCGGGCGGGCGAGACATCCCCTAGGTCTACCCCCTAGGCCTAGGGTAGGCCTAGGGGGTAGACCTAGGGGATAGGCCTAGGGTAAGCCTAGGGGGAGGCCTAGGGTAAGCCCAGGGGGTAGGCCTAGGAGTAGGCCAAGGGTAGGCCTAGGGGGTAGGCTTAAGGGTAGGCCTAAGGTAGGCCTAGGGGGTAGGCCTAGGGGGTAGGCCTAGGGTAGGCCTAGGGGGTAGCGGTGCCCGCCTGGGAGGCCCAGGAGCGCTCCCAGAGGGCCCCGAGTGAGCCCTTAACGCGCATGTCGTGCGCATGTCGTGGCCCTGGAGGCCCAGGACGACGACGACATGCGCACGACATGCGCTCTTGGGTCCTTCTGGGGCCTCTCTTGGAGCCCTCCTGGACCCTCTTGGAGCCTTGCGGAGCCCGCCTGGGAGGCCCAGGA